CGAATTCAGCTTTCATGCGCAGGTGCGTGAAATTTTTAACTATTTTCCAATGTTTGAACTATTTTTTGCATAGACAAAAGCACAAAGTAGTGAAAATCATTAGTAAGCAATCGTTCGATGGGCTGAATTGCACAGAACGCATGATCGCACCGGCTAGTCTGGTGAGCGTTGCTATTCATCTTTTTTTTCTGAAGGATTTGCATTGCACAAATCAGTTCACCACTTACACACTTTTAAGCTTGAATATAATCATACTGTAATATCAAATGCCAGAATCCTTTCCAAATTTTGCTATCTTTTAGAAAGCTCGGAGCGGGGGGGAGGGAGAGAGAGAGAGAGAGAGACGAAGATTTTACGAAATAATCCGAGCGTTAGCAAAAGTAACGCCCTCTGAAAGTCGGCTTTCCGTCTTCCAGCTGATGGTGGCTTTGCGCCATAATTTTAAACAACGCCATACTTTTCTTCCCCCACGACATTTCTTGTTATCAGTTTAGTTTATTATTAAAACGTGTGCATAAACAGCAGACAAATTGGCTGCCCCACTGACGGAGTCAAATCCTCAATATCTTCCGCATGACGGCTCACTGCGCCGAGTCCCCTAGCGTTTAGTAATAGAAGTGCACAAAGCTTACTGCAAAGCTGTGATATTCTTCAGGATTTGAGAAATTTGGCGGCCTTTGAATGATATAGTTGATGCTCAGATAGTCAGGCCAAACCTGAATGAATAATTTTTTCAATTAAAACCGCTAAAATGCTGATTCAGAAAAGCTGCATAAATTCTACCTATAGCATGGTGTAGAAACACTGTGGATGCTGATGAAGGCAACAAAAAAGTCTAATGTCTTAACTAAGACAATGGAAAGCAAATGCCTGAGTATTTCTGCGCGGTTGCAAAAAAAATTTAAATGGCATTTCGACTTACGGCAACCAAAAAAAAGCTGGACACAAATAAGTGCTTGCACAGCGAGAGGGGGAAGAAACTTGTTACTTTTTAATTGAAGACTGAAGAACGTCGCCTGTCCCTGACTGCAACCAAAAGTGAAGAAAAGTGATGGAAATGGAATTAAGGGAGAGGGGATCGTTATCATGCCGCGTGCATATTGTAAATGCAGCTGTTTTGATGACAAAGCTGCATTTGCAACAACGGGGTATTATTTGATAAATGCTTTTATTTGTTTTTTCCAATCCTTTCTTATACATTTCCGGTCCCCATTAATAATCTTTTGGCTCTTTCTTTTCCATACCGTAACCCATTGTTCGGAGGGAACAAACATTTCCGGTGTCTGGGAATACATCTAGGTAGGACGGTAGACCTGGCGGGACAACAATGTGAACCGCGCCCCCTCTTTCCCTACTATATAAGGCCCCCTTTTTCTCAGTTGAAGCTTCTTCGGCTGCTTCTACATTTTCGTCAACTGGATCTACGGCACCGCCTCGACAGTCTTCGGGTTCCTTTTCGCCTTCGGATTGTTGTGCACTTCGACAACATTCCATTCATATGCTATCTACTGGCACTGAGCTTCAGAACTACTTATCAACTAAAATGGGTCCCCCAGCAAACTTCATGTTTCGCAGATAAGACTAATGCGCTAACTGTTGACTGTGTATAATGCCCTGTACCCCTCTCATTATATATTTTATAATTAAATGCAACTACGCATCATAAAGAACTTCTACAATACATCAGCTTGTGTGCTCCACTAGACCACGCCAAGATCAGAACCTTATCGGGCATGTCCCACATTTACTTTATAAACAATTCTTTTACACTGATACTACTGTTTCCAACATTTAAAAAAAATGCGAAAATTTCGTAATGTAAAGATTCGTGCATTTTTAAAACATGAAATCATAAAGAATACGGTATCCAAAACATCAGATGCCTTGGACTGCTAAAATTTCTAAATGGTGGGCTTCGCTGCGCAGAATATCGAAATTTCAATTATAAGGAGACTTCTTTGAGTTTTTGAGGCATCTAGCACAACATAATTCCAGAATTTACTTGCTACCTTGACAGTATGCAGCTGTCTGGAGGAACAAATTAGGCTATCTAAAAAGGCTAAAGATGCGGAACATAGAAAGAAAGGTTCCGTCAGCTTTTCATAACTTTTACGCAACAAGGTGGAAGGAGATCAGCGGCAGCAACTGGCTAAAAAACTCAGAAGGACAGGAGTTCCTTGGATGTATTTTCAAGCCTTTTTAGCCAATGCATTACCGGCAACGACAAGATTTCACCACTCTTTTGGCTGATCATTTTACTAATTTATTTATAATATTATCGTGATTACGATCTCACTTACTATATCACTCATGATTCGGATGCCTTCAACACTTTGTGATTTGGGTGGCAGCAACATCTTTCCATCCAGATTTGTTTCCAGCGCGAGAATTCCGGTAATTGAGGTATAAAAGTATGCGACCAGAAAACCAGCCACTACAAACTCGGCCCATAACGATGCAATTAACTTGCTGTAAACTGAAATATTTTACTCTTGGTCACTCATCCACAGAATGCCAAGGCAAATGTTAAAGATTTTGGCTCAACGCCTGTTAAATAAAATGGCGCCTTCACCCTCTTCCTTTTCCGTCCCTTCGCCCCTCCCATCTTTTTTTAGGTTCTTCATTTTTTCTACCAGTTATAGGCCACCCGAGAGTAAAAGCTTTTAACCCAAATTTCTGCTAGCTGGTATATACTCCATCCAGAAAGTAACTCTCGTTTGATTACGTTCACTTTTCCTTTTGTGCAAATTCTTAATTCACTTAGAGTTTCCATTTTTTTGCTCGGAAAAAATTTTAGGAGGGCTTTGATTCAGCACGAATGAATCGTTGAAAGCTTTGGCTGATATTTCTAATTTAGCTGTAATTAGCTTATTTTTTGCTCCTAGAATTCCTGGAATTTTTGAAAGCGCGAAGACTTAAAAAAAAAAACAGCAAATGCTAACATTTTGAAAATCGTGCAACTGATCGTTTCAACCGTTCGACCATTGTCGGAGCATTTTGCTTCACCTGTTTATAAGCAGCGGCCGGATGACCATGCGATAATAAAACAAGAACTGGCGCGTATAAAAATAGCTGCAAAACTATTTCAGCTTTTGTGCTGGTAGGGTCTAATTATGCATATGTCAACGCGAACATGCCAAAGATAGGAGGTAGGAAGTAAGAGTGAAAGGGGTTTTTTGGTAATAAAACGTAAAAAAGTTTTTAATTAGGAAGAAAAACTTGCTCAAAAGAAAAAATCGTAGAAACGAGAAGGAAGGAATTTAACCTATGAAACTAAAAACTTAATGTCGAAAGCAAAAATTTTAAGTTTTATCATGGTACCGTTTGAAAGATGAAAAATCTATTCAGAAGACAGAATCCAGATAAGAAACATAGAATTCAGTTAAAAAAGCCAGAAAAATAAAAAATTTATCTAAAAAAGCTAAAGAAATTTTGAAAAAGTACACTCCATATGACTTTTATCATCTTGTTCATAAATTCTTGGTTATAGCAGCTCGAAAGGCGCAGCTGGGTTGCTATGAATCCCTGCCCAGGGAAGCTGTAAGAATGCCGTTTCAAGCGAGTTAATTTACCGCTCATACAACCTTTTTTTTCAAAAGCTAAAAAATCTATTTACCAAACATCGCCTTGCTGAACAGTTATCTAACATACTAAAACAACTGGCAATGTCTGCGCAAAATTTCTTAAATTTTTAAATGAATACTTTGTACACTGCGCGAAAATTACTTGGCTCTTCATGGAATTCGATTTTTGATGCTGCAAACCTGGAACAGCAAATCGAGTAGCATGGCAAGTGATAGCGTTGCGCAGAAAAGCCGTATTTCTGGTGCCGGAGCAATACATCCCAACCCGAATCCGAGCACATTTGTTAATGAAGTGACAACCATACCAGCTCCTACTTTTTCTAACACCAGTTGTAGCCTGAAAATTTTCGGGATTTTTTCTGGTTGAAAAATTCAAAGAGGCATTATAAAAATCCTGTAAGATTACGACGTTTGTACAGTCAGCTGCTGTGGTAAAATAAGCAATTAGCAACGCGCACCGGGAGGCTCCCGAGATATTAATTTACCGTAAAAAACTTTCACGGGGCCGTACTTGTTATCCGCGGGTACGGGGAAGCTGAATTTAAATTTGCGGGGTCACACGTGGGTGGGGAACGTCACCCTAA